ACAAACATTCCTGTTAGCACAAACACATTCAGGTTGGTGCTGAATTTAGTAACACAGACTGTTATCTGTTGTTTAACAGCTGGGATGAAAATACAAAAGTACAAACTGTGACTTTAACCCTTAAACGTCCCCTCACATTTCATCATTTCATTTCTACGACACATGAAACCTTTTCCACACACAGCATCACATCTTTATTTAGTGTTCTGTTGTTCAGTCTCTTCATTAAAGATACATGATGTTTCACTTTGTTATTCTTAATAGAAAGTAAAATGTTTCCCTCTGAATTGTAGTGGAGTAGAAATATAAAGTAGCAGAAAGTGGTAAAGTACCTCTAATGTGTACTTCAGTCCAGTACTTGAGTAAATGTCCACGGTTACTTTGAACCGCTGTCTGTATGTGTGCAATATCAAATGTCACTAGATCACTAAACTTAAACAGCAAAGATGAAGTGGAGGAAATAATCAGCAGGTTGATCCAGAATGAAAAGAATCATCAGCTGCAGTCTGATACTAAACAGTTCAGAATGAGCTGCAGCTCAACAACTACAGCAGCAACATCCTGCTGCACATTAATGAGGAGGAAGAAGAATCTGAGGAGAGATATATAATAGTACAACAGACACAGTTAATCTTGTTATTAATGACAAACACAAGTTTTCCTGCTGTCACGTGTCAAAATGTCTCCATAAAAAAGTTCTGCATGCTGTCAGGATTATAACTGTCACACTGCTGCCCTCTAGTGTCTGCAACAACACACTGCGTCTCCACCTGATACTACTACTACTGCTATTAATACTAATACTGCTGCGACTACTGTACTGCTGTTACTGTGTAGAACAAATCCTTCACACTGCTGCCCTCTAGTGTCTGCAACAACACACTGCGTCTCCACCTGATACTACTACTACTGCTATTAATACTAATACTGCTGCGACTACTGTACTGCTGTTACTGTGTAGAACAAATCCTTCACACTGCTGCCCTCTAGTGTCTGCAACAACACACTGCGTCTCCACCTGATACTACTACTTTTTCACACACTCAACATTTCTCCTGTTTTAGCTTCTCTGCATTGGCTTCCTGTAAAGTCCAGAATAGAATTTAAAATCCTTCTACTTACCTACAAAGCTCTTAATGATCAGGCACCATTTTATCTTAAACTACCAGCAATTTCCCCCAATTTCCAGGACAAAGACCTAAAATAACACACCCTAAAAGAATCAGGAATAACTCCTCAACCATTCGGCTTGGTGCATAATAAGTGAAGATATTTATGTCACCAAAAATCAAATACAAGCTAGCGCACACTGATATGACTTTACTGCATTTATTGTGAGTGAAGTAGTATACTTTGTGCTTCCACGTCGTTTAAAGACAGACACAATGCTTGGTTCAGGTGCTCATATGTTGGGACCTCCATACTGGTCCGTAGAGTGGCGTGGCAATCAGGGGCAGGGGAGCCTCCCGCAGCGTTTCCAACCACGGGCAATAAAACACGAAATTCCCTGTGCACAGCAACAATATTTATTTTTAATATTTATGTTACCATTACAGACTAAATAAAGGAAAATATGAGATTTCCATCCTCGCCTTGTATAAAATCTATATTTTACCATTTATCACCATCAAAACCTCCTCCTGCAGGTTATAATGCAACTGAATATCTCCTGCTACACCTGGACTACAACTGGAACTGTAAATTTGATGAAGAAACTCAAATACACAATTTATAAAATTATACCCAGGAGGTGTTCATGTTAGTATTATAGATCTACTGTTTACATGTTTCTGTCCACACAAACGTTACAAATAACATCAAGTTCTTAAAACATTGAAATATTGATCAATACAATGACTAGTGATCAATATTGCTTGGACCAAAGAACCCCTTTGCTACCGCAGCCCTTTCATTCGATGTAACTACCACGAGTCAGCGATACTGTAACACTCTGGATGTCAAAGCCAGGAGGGAAACGTCAGAGGTCAGAGTGCATTATATATGGTGCCTTTCTCATTTCCCAAAGTGCCTCCTTGCTCCTCGAGGTGCATTTTAGGAACTGAGATGTTCTTCAAGATGCACTGAGATCAATTTCCAGGTCACAGGCTGGAGCATCGAGGAGGCCCTCGGTCTGTTCAGACATGTTTTTACTTATTTATCAGGGTTGATGAACCTGAATTAATCCAGTGTTCATATTTAGATGCAAATTAGCACATATTTCATTAGATACTGCCTCATTTGCTTATTTAGACATAATATTTTCTACCCTATTCACTTCACGCAGTGTCTCGCCTTAAACAAATGAGCTGATTATTTGTTTGTAAACCATCTGTTTTTTTCATGTAGTTTGGTTTTTATTCCACCTTAAATTTACTTTTATTCTTAAATATTTGTAGCGCTGCTGACTTAGTGCTGCTGCCTGTTTTATTTAGTATTTTCTTTGTAAATAAAATGTTAAAAACACGCCTGTCGCTGTTGAGAAAAGTCCAAGATGATGTCATCTAAACACTTGTTTTGTCCAATCAGAACTTCAAACTTCGATGGATCAGGCTTAGTTGCCATCACACGCCCTCAGTATGGCACTTGAGTCACATGATAACAGGTGGTTGTCTTCAGGTGGTAACATCTGTCTCTGTTCACAGACGCTCTCTGGGTTGAACCGCTGTGGTTTGATCCAGTGAATAGTCAGGAGCGAGAGGCGCTGAATAAACGGGGACTACAAAAACACTACAGACGACATTTGTTCTTGTGAAAGTCGGACTGAATCAAATATTATTGTGATTGTGATGAGATTTGTGTGTCCTGGCCTGCTGCAGCATCATCGGCTCTCTGGGCCAGTGTGAGATGGTCAAGAAGGAGTGAGGTTGGATTAATGGACTTTGGAACCTCAGGCCCCAACTCGTCCCTTTCCGTAACTGTCGTCAGCAGGAAAACACGTTCCGCCTCGCTTTTAGGAGGTTGAGGAGGTAAATTCGTGGCTCCTCCCCTGTCAGAACGCACAACCTCATAATCCATGTCGCCCACTCGCCGTGTGACTGCCAGGGGTTCTACCACCTGGTGAGTAATTTAGAGGTGGAATAATACAAGCACCTTATCTCCAGATGCAAACTGGCTTAACCTAGTTCCTCTGTTGTAGAGACGCTGCGGACGCCCTGAGCAAATTCTCCCATGACAACCGGCCTAATGTGTGGAGCTTTGCTCTGATGTTTTCTTTCTGGAAATTACAACCTGAAAGTCGTGAACTCTGACCCTGCACATTTTCTGTTCATGTTACTGTATCAAAAAACAAGAGAACCGGTTTATACCAGTAAATATATGAAAATACAAGCCAGGAGTTACAGAGCAGCTGTAACATTATCAGAATCATCAGAATCAGAACACTTTATTGATCCCAGAGGGGAAATTCTTTGTTTCAGATACTCGCATGGCTCAAAGAAATAGATATAATATTAATCATGAAAGCACAATATCAGGATAACATTAGAAGAAACACCAAACAAACTGGGAACCAAGGGAAAATTGTTAGCAACCGTAGTTGAATACATTTTTAATATTGTGCATTTATTCACGTACACAGCAAGAGTCCCGTTTAAAGAGCGCATTGTTGGTGCAGCACAGTTACTTAGATAGTTTAACCTCAGTCATTTCTGTGTGTGCAGAGTTGTTACTGTCAGCACTGATTTTAATTTGGTTTCCACTCTAAAGGCTGTTGTTTGAGTGAAATGTTTCCCTTCTCTACCAGCAGGTGGCAGCACGAGTGTATTTAAAGGTTTGACTGGTTTGTGTGTTCAACTGTTTTTAAACCTGGTTATTGATCCAGATCTATTTAATGCTGTTAATTTCATTTGTTGTTTGATGTTTGTGGTTTATTTGCAACCTGGTTATTTAAAGTATACTTTGTTTTTATATATCTTTTCACAACCATAAAAATAAGTATATGATTCCCAGCAATCTTTTTCTTCTTTAAACATGTTTCCATGTTATTGTTGTTTGAAGAAGTGTGTCTATATTAAGAGTTTTTTTCACCACTTCACAACCCTTTGCTACACACAGTGTCACACAGGACACATGCCAGTAAAAGACATTTCAACCAGTCACTGATGGAAACAACTAAAAACTGTACAGTAGGCCAATAGTTACAAGGATCAGTTTTTGTTCTCATGACTTTCCCTTCACGTCATTCAGTGAGGCTGCCGCATCTTTTCCAGGTTTCTCCAGGTAGGCTCCAGGTGATTGTCTCCAATACTTTACAGGTTTGTTGTGCTGTGAGATGAAACATAAATCAAATCGGTATCTTTAATAGGCGATGGGCCGAGGCCAAGTATCTGCTTTAGTTGTTAGTTGAGCAGACAGATCCTGCCTTTCTCCTCCTCTTGAGGGTCTTAGGGTCAGACCCACCTCCTCCACCTCCACATCCACACATAGTCAATATTGAAACAATAGTGTATTCTACCCTACAACACGTCTAAAGACTGAAATGTGACACTAATAAGACAAATTACTGCAAATGCATAAAACTACATCAACACAAGCACTCCAAGTTTATGTGCCGTGTCACACGATGACCTTCACATTCCTCACAGCTGCAGTCTTCTTTGCAGGGGCCCCTTGCAATCACCTTATTCTACTTTTATCAACGGAAAGCCTGTACAATCTGTCAAACACAACCCTGACCCCTCTTTTGAACTGCCTCCCACTACTCACTAAAATCAAGACCTACATTTTTATTTGTACATAAAAACATTACGTTTTTAAACAGGTAAGGCATTTAGCCCGGAGGCTCAGCTGCTCTGCCTAATCTGTAGCAAGGTGAGGGGTGTGTGTTTCAGTCTGCCTGCTGGTTGTCTCTGTGCCGTGTGATGAAATGCCATGTGATTGTGCTGCAAACTAACTTTCCTACGGGGACAAATATATTGATTGATACACTGTTTAATTATGTTACTGTACATTAACCAACAAATGTTCTACTCTGCATCCTTACCAGAAACCCAGATTTGCACTCTCCATTCTCTAACCCTGTCCTCTTCTCTTCTCTCTATAATATCTGTGTAACTCCTCTACATGTTGTAAGATATAGCAGGACTGCACTCATCTGTAAAAACACTATTTCTGCACTCCTGGTTAGATGCAAACTGCATTTCAGTAGCTCTGTACCTCTAAAGATCCGCCCCCCTTCAAACAGCTGGTACTCCCATCACTACAGAGTCTGCACGAGCAGCGCATGCTCCTGGGTCCAGTCTGATAGAGACGAGATGGCGGCAGCAGCGTCTAAGAGGATGAGCGTCCGACAGAGAGTTCCTGCTAAGAGCGACCGGGACCGGACCAGCCAGGAAGTCAGCACCGGGGTGAGTACCTGGCTCTGGGACCAGTGTGACAGTTTAATTGGTTGCCACATGAACTGGGGATGTTACTGCAGAAGTTCATGCGGTCGCTCTGATTTGTGCCCTGGTGGTTTTTAATCTGTGTGTGTGCTGACATCCAGCCTGTACGGGCAACAGGATGAGGGATTTGTTGAGTCCAGATCGCCGTTGAGTCAGGACGCTGAAGTTAGCTTCCAGTTCTGCACTTAAGGGAAAGTTAACTTACTGCTGAGCTTTTGCTCCTCTTGTTGTGAAAGCTGTCAGACATTTTAAGTTTAACTCTGTCTGAAAATCCAAAAAAGAAACTTCCCCATCGTAGGACTACTAGGAAAAGATGTGAGTCCGGCTGGACCTGCTGGGACTTTGTAAACAAATCTGAGGCGCTAAATCTGTACTGTCAGTGTGTTTTCTATAGAGAGCAAAACATAGTGAGGGCTACATGGAAAGGAGGGCAGAAGAAGGAAGGAAAGATACAGAAAGACAGAGAGAAGCAAACTGAGACAAACATTTGGAAGGTTTAGTAGTTAAAGGACTGCAGCCCCAAGTTGTAGCAGTATCTTGGAGCTGAATTTTTCTCTTTAGTGTTTATTCAGAATATTTAATAATTCACAGACTCAGCTTTAAGATTTCTTTATTTGACTGTTCTGCAGAATGAAGTGATGCAGTCCTGAAAATCAAGCTCTTCACAGTCCTCCCAAAGCACACTCTGTACTGCCCTCCCTTTCCAGGACGTCCTCTCCATATTTGGTCCAGTCCAGTCAGTATCTCTGAACCTACAATGAATCACTCTGAGAACTTGGCCGGAAAAGTAGTTTAGTGCACATTCCAACGAGATCGCTTCATCCTGTTCCTCACATGTTGGCCAGAGTCCAAGGAAACCCAACCTAACAGAAAAACATCTGGTTTCTAGTTTTTCAGAAGTCAGTACGTGTGTGTGTGTGTGTGTGTGTGTGTGTGTGTGTGTTTGCTTTAACGCTAAATCAAAGTACCTCTTATCTGCATGAAAATATGACAACAAAAGTACAAACACACATATTCTACAGCTGTAATCATATCTTAACTAAACCTTATCTCTAAATATGAATTCTGCCTTCTGAACCTTGTGGGTTCACTTTCTCTGTCTGTGTCACACAGAGAGACTGACCTGGATTTATCCTCCATACTTGCTGCACCATTACATCTCACTCACCGTCTTTCTCTCTGTATGTCTGTTATTATAGAAACAGAGAGGAAGAGATGGACTTAAACAACACCACTGTGACAAATCCTTCAGAACATCTGGACAGTCAAAGAATCATCGGAGAGTTCACACTGGAGAGAAACCGTACAGCTGTGACCAGTGTGGGAAGGTTTTCTCTACTTTAAGTAATCTAAAAAGTCACAAATATGTTCACATGGGGGAGAAACCGTACTGGTGTGAGCAGTGTGGGAAATATTTTACCCGATCATTGGAGCTAAAAATTCACCAACGCATTCACACGGGAGAGAAAGCGTACCGGTGTGAACAGCGTGGGAAAAGATTTACTCACAGTAAAACCCTGAAACGGCACCAATGCGGTCACGCTGCATCGCTGTAAACATTTTTCAGAGCCAAGCTAGCTCTTGCCTGCTGCCTCCTCCTTGTTACGGGGTGTGGTGTGTGGACAGAGAGGACCCAAATGCTGCACTCAGAGGGAAGGAGGTTTATTGGGGGAAAAAAGGGTGAGAGGGACTGGAGTGGAGGGAGAGGAGGACGTCGGGGAAGTACTGGCACGGGGAACCAAGGAGACAGGGGGCCAGGGAGCCGGGGAACACGGGCCGAGGAAGCGAGGAGAGGCAGGGGAACAGGGAGGACGCCGAGAGGGAGGTCCGAAGGGGAGTGGGCCAGTGGATGAGCCCAGCCGAGCGGAGGACGAGGGTGAGTGTACCTGGGAGGGAAACAAACAGAGAGACAAGGTTAGGGGGAGACAATGACAAGGCACAGGGTAAGTTTGAAAAAACAAGAAACAAGGAAGCCTGAACACAGGAGTGGCACCAGGTATGGAGCAACGACGATCAAGCAAGGATGATGTGGAGAACCGGGGTTGAAATACAGGCTGGGATGAGGTTGATTACTGGCAGGTGTGGCAGGCTGACGAGGTGGATGATGGGTTGCAGGTGCAGGTAGTTGGCTGGGCTCAGGAGCAGAGGGAGAGAGAGCACACGGGGGAGAAAACACAGAGAGGCGGGCAGAGAACAGGAAACCAAGGGAAAAAGCAGAAAACTGATAAAAAGGAGGAAAAACCAGGACACTCACCGTCAGCCGGGCTGCCACCACAACACTCCTCATGCTGTGTTATATTGTGAGCTTCTCTTTAAACTGAGAGATAGACAACAGTAACTTTATATTCTGAGCAGCATGTGCGTTAATGTGTTAACTGTTTCTACTGATGTTATTATGAATTCGTAAACAAGTGTCAATGAACTGAATTTTTATACATTTTTAATACACTTCAGATCTCAAACCTGTAAAATAATATTTAAAACTCACCGTTCAGCTGCTGGCACTATTCCACTAGCACTGCGAGGAAGAAGTGCTTCCTTACCGTCCATTAATCTGCCAAGTGCTCATAATATCACTTGGTAAATAAAATGTAGGGACTTTAGGAGCCGTCAGCCCTTCCTCTCTGATCTCTCTGGGACGTCCCAGATGACCACTCTCTCTCTGGGGAAGTCGGATATGAAACTCAGCAGAAGGACATAAATCCTTGAGATGAGTTTTATTAACCCAAGTGTAAATAAATGTACAGTCACTGGTTCAGTAATAATCTCACTTGATTGCTTTTTGATGGTTGGCGCAATTCTGATGATTTTCGCATAAAGTTTTAGGTAATCAGAAGTTAGAAGTTTAACAGTTAATGGGATTCTTGTCATCACTGCGTTTCTGTTGTTTTGTGTAAGATGAGTTAGTATATGTGTGATCAAACTAAGTGTTGAATCTGCTACCATTTTATTAGTAGTGTTGAATTTATGCTTCTGATAGTTAAGTGGTTAGGAAGCTTATTATTAACTGTGTTTGAAATCTAAGTTAGGTTTATATAACATGTCTGTGATGGATGCTCGACGTCAACCCTGTTTTTATGATGTGACTGTGCGAGACATGTTAAATTATATAGTTCCATAACGTAGAAGAAACCACAAAGAAAGATGATTAGTTACGAGGCGTAAAACAGTTTGAGTGTGAAAACCTTTCCTCCTCCTCCAATACGCACCCTATCTGATGGTGGTCCGGCCTCTTTCACCTATGTTTCTTTACCACTACATTACTCTTCTACAATAATAATAATAATAATAATAATAATAATCTTTATTTGTAGAGCACAAGTGTAAAGACAATAATACCCAAAAGACAATAATGCAAAAACAATACAAGATAAAAGCAAGAAAACATTGAAAAGACTAAAATATAAAATAAGTAAAATAGAATAAAATAAAAGGGATAAAATAAAGTCAAATAAGATCGGGAAAGGCTCTCCTATAAAAGTATGTTTTAAGAAGGGACTTAAAAGAGTTCACTGACTCAGCCGACCTGATTTCCTCGGGCAGGCTGTTCCAGAGCCTCGGGGCCCTGACAGCAAACGCTCTGTCCCCTTTAGTTTTCAGTCGAGACTCTGGAACAGACAACAGACCTCTGCCCGAGGATCTCAAGGTACGTGCTGGTGCGTATGGGACTAAAAGGTCAGAAATATAACAAGGCGAGAGGCCATGAAGAGCTTTAAAAGTGATCAATAGAATTTTAAAGTCAATTCTAAAACATACTGGGAGCCAGTGTAATGAAGCTAAAATAGGAGTAATGTGGTCATATTTCTTTGTTCTGGTTAAAAGCCTGGCAGCTGAGTTCTGGACAGTCTGGAGTCCATCAATAGATTTTTGGGTTAAACAGGTGAAAAGGCTGTTGCAATAATCCAGGCGTGATGAGATGAAGGCGTGTAAAATGGTCTCGGTGTCCTTAAAAGTTAACATAGATCGAATTTTTGCTATATTTCTAAGTTGATAAAAACATGATTGAACAAGCTTTGTGGTGTGCTGCTCGAAATTTAAATTACTATCAAACCAAACACCAAGGTTCTTTGCCACAGGCTTAATGTGATTTACTAGGGAACCAGCAGATGGCAGTATTTGATCAAATACTGCCATCTGCTGGGACCCGATGACCAGGATTTCTGTTTTGTCTGAGTTCAGCTGGAGGAAATAATTTGACATCCATTTTTTAACTTCACAAAGGCAGTTGTTAAGTGAACTCAGCATTCCAGGGTCTGTGGATCTGACGGGCAAGTATATTTGTGTGTCATCAGCATAAATATGAAAAGAAATGCCATGTTTGTGGATAATATGTCCAAGGGGAAGCAGATACAAGGAAAGAAGATACAAGGAAAGCAGATACAAGTCTGCATTATTATTCCATGGTCTGCCCACGTCATCTCCGGAGTTTTTTTTGTCAACACGTCATATAACCCTTATTAAAACCTAATTTACTGGCTTTATTCACACATTTAGTTATAAATAAAATTTTCCTTTATCACCAAGTCTTTGTCTGTGAATATTTCTTAAGGATAAATATATTGGGAATTCACAACTCAGGTAATAAAACTTATTAATCTGCTTTCTCTCATTGTTCCTGTGATTGAAGGTGTTGCCCAAAAGATGTTAGGAGTGCAAATATTCCATGTAAAGTAGTAGTCCTGCTATCTACATTTTTGTTTTCTATTACTGAAGATGATTTGGAATCCTTCTTTGTTCAGACTGAAAGCAATGCCAAATGTAATCGATGCAAAGAAACAAAGCTTTTTGCACCAGCTGAGGTGAAGACAGGTCAGCTCAAGTGTTAATGTTGCAGCTTCAACAAAAATCTTTATTCTCAACGAATCAAGTTAATGTAATGTAATGTATAAAGGTTTCAGACATTTTTGGCGCTCATTACTTTTGGAGATGACACTTGTAGCTTGTTAGCTTTTCTTTGCCAGTGTGTGTTGAAAGAGTGAGTGCTCAAGTTCAGCATACCACATTATAGTTTAGGTTCACTTACCTGTGACCATTAAAATCCTTAAGCGTGCGACGTGAAGTGCATGGTGCAGGTCCCTGTGTAGTTTTTCTGAATCCACTTTTGCTAGTTTACAGGGTTTGCTAGAGAACATGGTTCAAAAGATTTGTACGTAGTCTCTAATCATGGGTGTGTTTTGGGGCGTCACATGCAATAAACCAATCAGTGTCATCTCCCATTCCCTTTAAAAGCAGGTGAGCTTGTACCATGGTGCATTGCTATTTAAAGGAGACCTGTTATAATGCATTTCCAGTCCTATATTGTAGTTCTGTGACTCCTGTATGGCAGCTTTGCATGATTCAAAGTTCAAAAAAAGAATTTTCTATCTTATACTGGCCCTTCATGCAGGCCCTCATTTCAGCATCTGTCTGAAACAAGCTGTAGGTGCTCCTGTCTCTTTGAAGCAAAGCCTGTCTTCTGTCTTCTGGTTGGACATTGTCTTATGTGTTTACCATGTGAAGGGATGGGGCTGCATGTTCCTTTGTGGGTGTGGTCAGCATTCTCTGCCTGGAGCAAATTACCATATTTACATTTTTTCATTTATTCATTTAGCTGATGCTTTTATCCAAAGCGACTTACAGCTGCTATACATGTCAGAGGTCGCACGCCTCTGGAGCAACGAGGGGTTAAGCGTCTTGCTCAGGGAGACATTGGTGGATGTCTCACAGTGGGAATCGAACCCAGGTCCCACACCAAAGGCAAGCATCTTATCTATGCGCCATCACCACCATCCGGCTCGAATGACATCATATCGAGCCGTTTAAAACAGAACGTTCAGAACAAGAGGAAAATCTGAGGTTTTGTCTCACAGGGATTTCTTTTAAATACGTTTACCTCATTATTTGAAGCTTTGGTCATGTTTAACATGAATATGAACAGCTGCAATAAAAAATGTCCCGCTAATGTGTAGCTTTTTCAAAAAAGCAAGAAGTGAAGAGGAGGATGTCGAGCTAATCAGTGTTAGCTTGGAAGCATCGTCTACCAGGGGCGCCCCCAGAAAATTTTCCCAGGGGTGGCCAGATGGGGCCACTGAAAATCCTGGGGGTGGCACACTAAACCAAAAGCCATAACTGAATTTCAGGATTTCTATTATGCAATATAGACTAGTTGAATACTACATAAAATGTGAGTTAAGGAATCACAGCTGATATCCTTTGGATTCTTATACTAAAACCAGTTCAGTTAACATTCCATAAAAATCCTGTTTGATGTGTTATCTGTATATGTGTTAGGCAATTAATTGTTCTTTAAATATGCAAGTTAACCTTTTCCTTAAAAAGCATTTATTTGTAGGAGTGCAGTGATGGGGAGGAACAAAACATTTACTGGGAACAAGTCAACTCAAGATTACAGACATCATGGAGCATAAATATTTTTCTTTAAATTCAAATTGAAATATACAACGTGTGTCTGTATAGAGTTGTGTAATTATTTGTTAACATTTGTTAACAAGGATAGGTATTCTTGCAATATCCCACTTTTTAACAACCGATTTGACCAGTGTCATATTTATATGTAAAAATGGTGGTGGGGCACCGACCATTTCAAAAAGCAGTAGGA